ACAAGTATATGGTGAATCTAAATTTAGACTTCTTTCCATAACCAACTGACAAACGCTTTACCAACAGACCACAACCCAGAACCAATTCCAACACCAACAGACCGAACACCAAGATAAAGGTCCACAATCTTTTCTCCAACTGTAATTATATAAATTTCGAGAACTATTTGCAAAATTCTAAGAAACCACAATGACGCAGGAAATAGTTTTCTCACCACCTCTTGTGAAATTGTTAGCAACATATTCTTTCCCATAGATAAGCAGCTCGGGATGAAAAAGCAGCTGGTAGGTTCCCGTACTAATATCAACAAAACGTCTCCAGGGACATGTTTTCCTGCATTTGTCTCGCTGAGGAAAGTGTGACACCAAACATAGTATCATTGCGAGAGAAGAAAAGTACAAACCATGTTTCTTTTAGAAAGAAAGCAGAAAAGACAAACCATGTTTGTCCCTCAAAAAGCTTCAACACACATAAACAAAATAGAAATGGAGGTTTGGTCATAATCAGGGCCGGCCCTGGGCTAAAGCCCGTGAAGCAAGGGCTTCGGGCGCCAGGATTTATTAAAAATTTAGGGGCACCATGTTCAGCGAGGTTTCACTAGTCTAGTGGCTTCTGTATATCGTCAAAAGTTCTCTAGGCCCGGGTTTGAGGTTGCCTTTATGCATTTTTTTTTCATTTTTCATAATAAAGAAAATTTTCCATTAACTATAAGATTTTATAATAAGTAAAGTTCTGATCGTAAAGCTTGTTACCTTTCTCTAACTTCTAATTTTCCTTATATATTATATTAAATGATAAAACCAAAAACTACATAAATTACAATAACTATCTAATTTATTTACCCTAGCAAATATCAATCGACGTTTTATTGAACCTCTTTTTTTACTCTTCTCTGCCGATCAATCCTACTGTGGATCTTCCATTATTAACTTTTGAGTAATAGGTGTATCTCTTAATCTATGTAAGTTGTTCATCTTTCTTTGTTTCTTTTGTTTTCGTCAATTTCTGTAGAAAATTTTGAAATTTGTCTAAAATATGTTTACTTATTTTCTGTTCTAGCATATGTATAATGTATTGTATTGGCTTCTGTTATCTAAATTATGGTTTTCTTTGTAATATTTTTGATTTGTAGAGAATGCTTCCAGGAAATAGAATAAGAAATCAATCAAGTGGAGCTAAAAACAGGGCGAAAAAGGCTAGACAAGATGATTTTATTAAATCTCAAGCTAATGCTATGCTTAAGTATGTCACTAGAACTAAAGCTGATGACACTTCTAACACTGAAATAGACAAAGAAGATGAAGAGCTTGTTTTTGAAGAAGATGATGAGAAGGGTGAAGAAGAAACTGCTAGAGATGATGAATATTGTATGAATATGGACAAAGAAAAATCTGAAAAAGAAAAAAAAAACATGGAATCCCAAGAGAAAGTTGATGATATTCGAAGCTTCTCGAAAGATGTTGATATGGATGATCTTGGGAACTGGAAAAAAATTGAACAAAGAATGAGAGATTATTTAGTTGAAAAAGGTCCACCTACAAGACCTTCGATTGATTATCCTTTTCCAAAAGATGGTATTGGAAGATGTTTCAATTATTCATGTTATACAAGAAGAATGAGTAATGGAGAGAGACAAGACAGAAGATGGTTAGTTTACTCAAAATCTAAGGATAAAATCTTTTGCTTTTGCTGTAAATTATTCACTCAAGAAAAATTCCCTCCTATTTTGGTAACTACTGGATATGATGACTGGAGGAATGCTTCACATAGGCTGAAAAATCGTGGAACTAGTTACAATCATATTGTTTGCATCAGCCGCTGGATTGAGCTAGAAATGAGGCTGAAAAACTGAAATTATTGACAAGCATTTAGAGGAGGCAATTAACAAAGAGAAGAAACATTGGAGAGATGTGATGTTGAGGATAATTGCAGTGGTAAAGACTCTAGCAGAAAGAAATTTAGCATTTTGTGGAGAGAACGAAAAAGTCACTGATCCAAACTGTGGAAATTTCTTGGCTTTTATTAAGATGATTGGAGGCTTTGATGAAGTAATGAAGGAGCATATGCGACGAATAGACAAAGGTGAAATTCAATATCATTATCTTAGTCATAAGATTCAGAATGAGCTGATAGAATTAATTGCTAATGAGATTAAGATGGTAATTTTAAAGAAGATCCAAGAGGCAAAACATTTTCAGTCATTTTGGATTCTACTCCTGATATTAGTCGTAAAGAGCAGATGACTTTTTTGATTCGATGTGTACATGTTTCTACGGATTCACCTAAGGTTGAGGAGTTCTTTTTGTCATTCTTTGAAATCAAAGACAAAACAGGAGAAGGAATGTTTACCATTCTTCAAGATGCATTGGCTGATCTTAAGTTAAATATCAGTGATGTAAGAGGACAAGGTTACGACAATGGATCTAATATGAAGGGAAAGCACAAGGGTGTTCAAAAAAGATAGCTGGATATTAATCCAAGGGCATTTTATACTCCATGTGGGTGTCATAGCCTCAATCTTGCTCTTTGTGACATGGCTTCTTCATCAGATAAAGCACTTTCATTTTTTGGCATTGTGCAACGTTTATACGTTCTGTTTTCATCTTCAACCAACAACTGGGAAGTCTACAGAGAAATGGTGAATGGTACTACACTTAAGCAATTATCACAGACTCGTTGGGAAAGTCGTATTGACAGTGTAAAACCAATAAGGTTTCAAGCTGTAAAGATACGAGAGGATTTATTTTACATAGCCGAGAATAGTGACAATCTTGGACATCGTAGTGATGCTGAGTGTCTTGCAGAAAGTGAAGCACATGGAATTGGAAGATTTGAATTCTTGTTTGGAATGGTCATTTGGTATTATTTGCTTTATGTTGTCAATACAGTGAGCAAATCTTTACGATCAGAGGATATGGATCTTGAGGCTGCTATTTTGCAGTTAGAAGGGCTTGTTGGTTACTTGAAAGGCTACAAAGAAACTGGTTTTGAGAAAGCAAAAGCTGAAACTATGCAAATTGTCATTGACATGGAGATTGAACCATCATTTTCTTCAAAACCAAAACGCTTTATAAAAAAGAAAAAGCATTATGGTGAAGATGCTGAAATAGTTGATGATAGTAACCCTTTAAACGCAGAAGAGAGTTTTAGGATTGATTATTTTATCAACATAGTGGATCAAGCTATAATGTCACTTGAGGTTAGATTCGAGCAATTTCAGCGCTACGACGAACTTTTTGGATTTTTGTTTGGTTTGAAAAGGCTAAAGTCAGGAAAAGATGATTTGATGACATCTTGTGTCAAGCTTGAAGCTTCTCTAGAGCATGATGGGCATTTTGATGTAGATGAAACATCTGTTTATGGAACTCCAATATCTAAGAGGAATTTTGCCAAAGGAAATTACAAAAGCGATCGAGATGTTGGAATTTTTAAAAAGAATGGATGGCTGTTATCCAAACACAGAAATTGCTTATCGTATATTACTAACAATTCCAATTTCAGTTGCTTCTGCAGAAAGAAGTTTCTCAAAGCTGAAGCTCATCAAGAATTATCTACGTTCGACTATGTCTCAGGAGCGTTTAAATGGACTGTCGATGATAGAGTTAGCGGAAAAACTTGATTATTCGAAGTTGATAAATGATTTTGCAGGAAAAAAAGCAAGGGGAGTTATCTTTCATGAATAATGTATTATTTTTTTTTGTACTTTTATTTTTTGAGACCAAATTAAATCATAATAATATTTGCGTTATATGATTATATATTTATATGTGATAAAAAATATTGTTAAGGGGCAACAAATTTGGAGTTCGTTTTAGGCGCCATAGACGGCCGGACCGGGACTCATAATACCTAGGCAGCATGCCATCAGGCTGGATCCCATGTTCGAGGCTATAAATCTGCCATCAGGCTATAAATCTTCCAGCAGGAATTGTTGAAACTCAGCTCAACCGATATGAATTCCTATGATTTCCCTCACTTTTTTTCTCAGAGAAACCCTAATTATTTGATCAACTTTGATCCTATAACTTATTTGGCCGCTTTTAATGATTTATTTAGTTATATATAATTTATATTGATAGAGATCTGTGAAGGATTATAAAAATGTTAGAAAATTAAATGTGATATAAAATATTATTAAGTTACAACCTATTTAATAGGTCCAAATTAAAAACATGTCATGGTAAGTTTCAAATAGGACTATAACTTAATAGAGTAGATCCATAATTTCCAAGAAGTTTGTTTTTGTAGAAGTTATACAAATGACTAATCTAATAAATTTGAATTTTACATACAATTTATAAATGCTAAATACAATAAGAAGAAATGTGAAATAACAAATCATTGATCCAATAACAATCTCAAAATCTTATTATTGTTTTTAAGACAAAAACTCCAAATTAATACTCAAAAAGCAACATTTAAAAAAAACATCTAAACCCCCAAAAAGGAGATAATTTATTTGTGAAATAACAAAAAAGATAAAATTAGTTTTGTAGAGAAATATAAGAGAGATAAAAAAGGAAAAAAAGTAGAAAATGTGTAATTTTAATTAGTTAGTGAACTGTGAGATTTTGTTTTAGTGTATGCAATATCCGGAAAAAGTGTTAGAGAGAGAGAGTTACCTTCACATAACCTAGAACATGAACAAGGAGGATTCCCGATTTCTTTTTCAGTATTCTAAAAATAAAAATCTCTTTTTCTTCTTGCTGATAAAGTCACTTTTTATCTTCGCTTGATTTGCTTGGACGGAATCTTTTTTTATTAAAATATTCTACAAATGCAGGATATGTCTCACGAGATTAGTCATGCTGACATGGAAACTAGCTGTCTTGAGCAATTATTCATCCCCGAGACTTAGACATCCTCCAATCAAAGCTAGACACGTCCAGACTAATCCGCTCTTGCGCGGCGCCTTGTATCTGTTTTGCTGATTTCAGACGGGTCCCATCTCCGTCTTGCCCACGCTATATAAACTCTCCTCTTTTTATTCTTCAAACCCGAAAATAAAATAAAAACAAAAAAACATTTCTTTCTCTCTCTCTAGATATAAAAAAACAGATGGATCGGCAAAATTCCGATGACATCATGAGATTTCTGGAAGGAATGGCTAGCTCCGACGACGTTCTCTTCGGTTTCCTCGACGAAGGAAACCACTCACCGGAGGATTTCCCAGACAATGGCAACCTCAACGGCGACTCAGATATAGACGAAGAAAGCGAGGCCAATAAGAATTGTAATTCTGAAGAAAACAAAGCTTTCTGGCAGGAACAAGAACAACTTCTTCAGGTGCTCTTTTCTTCTTTTAAAATATTAAATCATAATTTTAATTAGCACATAATTTCGGGGTCTAAATTTGTTTCTTTTTTTTTGTTTGGAATTGTGTAGGGGACACTGTATCGGACAAGTTCGATTGAGACAAAGATTAGACAAGCGACAAAGGAAGCTTTGAAACAGGTTAAATCAAAGGGTCTTCATTGTATCTGCCGGCGGCCCGATAACGGCGGTTGACGGAGCTGCTTACGTGGTGAAATCTCTCGATATCTCCGAGATGTGGCCGGCTACGACTGCGTCATCTCCAAATCCAAGTGGAGAAGCTCTCAAGACATCCCTGCAGGTTTGGACACATTTATTATTAAAATACTTAGTACTGGCTCTGAAATGTTCAGCAATCCTTATCATTATCCTTCCAGATCACGTCACTGCAAATATCTTAAGTAAATTTTTAATATAGTGATCGGTTCGGTTAATTCATTTGAGAGATGAGAAATTTGTGACTATTATTAAAATTTTGAATCCCTTTGGAAAATTTATCCATCTATTTCTAATCTTGATATTAACATTCCGTGTTATATGCAGCCACCAAACGCTTCTAATCTATTAATTTAGGATTCCAAATTTTATATACTGTTTAAAGTTAGTGTTTTAAAATTTGGACACTTTCAAATTTGTTAGTAGGCTTTATGGACCATTTTATCTACTATTTGAAGTTGTATTTTATTATAAAAAAATCTGTATAAAAATTTAACAAAATCTTATTAAAATATTAAAATATTTTATAAATAATACAATGACTAATTTCGTATTAATATAATATTGTTAGTCACTAATACTAATTTAAATTTTATTATAAAACAGATATAGAAAACTATATTCTATTTTTATAAATTCCATAACTATAGTCCATATTATATTAAAATAGGAATACTATATGAATTAAATAAAACAAAGTTATATAATATTGATAAATTAGTTTAGTTTATCTCAATAATGCTTGCATTTAAATAAATAAACTATCATTCACCGTTTAAAAATATTAATTTTTTTAAACTATGGATATTTTTATACAAAATGTTAGCATATCTTAAACTTTTATATCTACAAGTCTACAACTATATATATATATATATATATATATTAATTTGATATCCGAGCAATATATTATATAAAGTATTTATATACAAAATATAATAGTATATAACTAACTTTAAGTTCATGCGTTATTTACAAAATATAATATCGATTTTTAAATAATTCAAAGGTATTAATAAAAAATCTATTTTAACTACAAATTTAAGGTTTTTAATTATAATAAATTCTGTTGAGAAGCAATTAAATATTTTACCAAAATTTCTAAATATTTTTATTAAATAATACATTAAGTTATTAACGAAAAAAACAAAGTCATATAATTCAAATTCAAAAATATTTATGTACTTTTCAAAAAAATTCTTGACCAAATATACAAATTTAAAAATAAGTATTCTAAATTCAAATTGAAAATATTTCCAATTTTATAAAAGATAAAATTATAGATGCTAAAGTGTAATCTTTTCAAATGAAACATGAAACATGAAAAAATGAATATTATTGTAAGAATCTAAAATAATATAATATTTTGAAATATTAATTTAATTAAAAAAGTCAGAGAATTTAATACCATAACATTCAAAATATTTTATATCGATATCTTAACTAAAATAATATCATAGAAGCTATTATATATATTTTTATCAAAACAATATGGCTAAGTTAATTAAACTAAACAATATATTTATTTATTAAATTTAGAAATTTACTAAAATGATAGATCTTATAGTTGATTTTTTAAACATGAATGGGCTCACCAATCGTATCATAATTTTCAATAAAAAACTCTAAACAATAAGATTATAAAGTTACACTAATGTAACACGAAAATGTTAATCAGATGTTTAACGATAATATTTAATATATGGTTTTATAAAATGAAAAATATATCCACACGTACGTGCGGGTCAAATTCTAGTTTCTAATTTAAATGCATGGTGTCCAAGAATAAAAGTGCAGCCAAATGGGTTGAGTTGGAGGCCTGCTGTACACCATTACACATAGGGGTGGGCAAATAAACTGAACCCAAAATAAATACAGAATATATCATGTTTTATGGTATTTTTAATTATGGGTATCATCCGAACCGAAACTGAAATAAATCCAAACCTAAATGGATATTCGATTGAACCCGAAAGATTCAAAATCCCAAAAAGAACTTTTACCAAATGTGATCTCAATTCCAAATATGTAGCCAAAATACTTTAAGGTATAATTGAACATCTAAAATAATTAGCTATTACATGAATGTTAATGATTAAAGGTAGCCGTTGAAGCTTGAAAGTTTTAGATGCTGGTTTTGTTTTCATTGAATAATGTATTTTTATTTCATGAGAACTTGGTTTTTCATTTTATGCTTTCATTTATTTGGTTTTCTTTCTATGAATAATTATATTTATCTTTCGCTTGATTTTGAATGATCACGTTAGATGTGTTTCTTTCTTATTTTGAATCGATTTTACTTATGTTTTGGTTACAAATTAGGTACAAACCAGGTACTTTAAAATCGAAGAACTGATTTTACTTATGTTTTAGTTACAAAGTTGGTACAAATTAGATACTTTCAAACCGAAGAACTAAATGGGACCCAAACATGAAAGTACAATCGGATTATACTGGTTCTTTGAATATCTACTAACTCGACCCGATCCCAAACCGAAATTTCATATAATCTAAGTGGGGCTGATTTTGATAAACCCGAAAAACTAAGACTAAATTGGAGAAAACCGAAACCCGATTGGGACCCCGAATGTCCATGCCTAATTACAATCATGGTAAAAGATTAAAATTCATAGCCCGGAAAGTCGATGGGAAGACAATATGCCCACAAACAAAGAGGTCTATCCTGAGCTTTAGGAAGAATCAGTGCCGACTTGAAGCAGTTAACTCAAGATGTAAAAAAGAGAAAGGCATTAAATAATACTTAAAATATTAACATTTTAATTACATTATATAAGAGAAATTATTTAAAATACCATAAATTGGCTATCAATTTTCAAAAATACTTTCAATCAAAATACCTTTTTCAATGATGGAATGACCGGTTTAATCACAACGTAAAGAAGATCAAGACATTAGATAATACTTTTAAAGATTAACATTTTAATCCCATTATATTAGAGAAATTGGTTGAAATACCATAAGTTGACAACCAATTTTCAAAAATGCTTTTAATCAAAAATACCATAACATTTGGGTTTATAGTTTAGTGATTATTGTTTAGTGATTAGTACGTAAGGGGTGTGGTTGAATTCATAAAAAGATTGTAAATAATTTATAAATATTTATAAATGAATTAAGAGGGCTAGTTTAGTGTTTTTATCACAAATTTAGCGTATTTATGAAAATTATCTTCTTTAAAAAGTAAATTTTAAAATGTCATCAATTTTTGGTAAAATTAGAATTTCCACATAATATAATAAAATTAATTTAAATATATAATTATTTACTTTTCATAAAATAAATATTATTATTTTTAATTTTATATCTAGATTATAACTTCTAAATCTAATCCGCTAAAGTATAGACTCTGAAGCTTTGTTTGAAAAAAATATTTACAACATCATTGTGTTCTTTATCATCCAATCAAATATTTCCTTATTGAGAAATTGTTTGAAATACCATAAGTTGGCTACAAAATACTTTTAATCAAACATACTCTAACATTTAGGTATAATATTTGATAATATTATTTAAGGTTTAGTATTTAAGGGATGGGAATGAGTTTATAAACTTTTATAAATGATTATTAAACATTTATAGATGATTAAAGAGGGTTAATTTAGTTTTTTTTTATCACAATTTATGTATTAACCATATTTTAAAGTTAAATTTAAAGTGGTATCACAATTGTGATAAAATTAGAGTTTTCCCATTTTAATAATGGTAAATTAGTGATGACCCTTTTCATAAAACCCTATGTTTGTGATAAAAACGACCATTAATCCTTTTAAATCATTTATAAATGTTTAAGAATTAGTTATAGAAGTTTATAAACCCCACAACATCCCTAAATACTAAACAATAAATTGTAGTCACGAAACCCGTAAACCCAAATGTTATGTTATTTTTGAAAAGTTGGTATCTAATTTGTGGTTTTCAAACAATTCCTTATTAAATTTTTTTAACAATTAGATTTATAATTGTAGTTTCCTTTTCCTTATATTTTTCAAATAACATATATAGTAAAATGAAACATTTATAAAACATTAAATATATAGTTTCTTAAGAATATGTTATTTTAAAAATAATTTAAAGAAAGATAACAAAATCAGATAAAGAAAACTAATTTAATTTGGGGGGAGGGGAAGAGAGAGATTTTCCAAAAATGATATTTTAAATACAAAATTATACTTTAACTTCAATCAAATGCAAAGTAATCCAAAGGGATAGTGAATTTATAACCTTATGACAAAACGAAAAACTTGTAATCACTTTTACAATTATTTCTGCGAAGTCTTCTTTGAAAAATACTAAACATAGATGAGGGAATTATGTTGTAAGTCATGATTGTTCTAGGTTTAGGGTTAGTAAGTTTTCTATGATGAATAGTGTATTTTATGTTAGAAAACTTCCCAATAGATATTTCAAACATAAAATATTTAACCTAATTGAATTTTTTTTGTCTTCTTATATCAAAAAAATTACATATTTTCTCTCTTTCTCTCAAATAAGTGCAACAAAAATATATTTTTCTCACTCTAAAACTTTGTAATCCATTTTAACTTGAAAAAACCAAACTTTATATCAATTTCTCATCTTTTATCTCATGTCTTTGTGGCTATTTTATCTTGTTTTTGCACGTTTTTGTTTTCATGGTTTTATCTTCCCCTCCTTTAAAATTAAATCTATATTTGATATGTATTTTTGTCTGTTTTATGTTATTTTGAAAAGCTATAGATTCAATATATTGTGCTTTTTATCTATTATTAAACATAAAAGCTTTATTTTAAGTTTTTATCTCTTTGGAAGCCATTTATCGTTCTGAATATGCACACTTTTCAGACTTGAGGAAAATATTAGACTTCGGACTTCATTAGCAGACTTCTTGAGAAAATTTCTGAAGAAGTCTTTCTATGTTAAATCCAAGTAAAGTTATAAATTCAACCTAATGTGATTATTTTGTTATTATTTTAGCTTAAACTTATTATAAAACATCACATTTTTTAAAAAAAAATTCTCTGTTGAAACCATTTTAAATCTTTTTAGATATATTGCTGTAATCTTAAAATTTTATCTTTTTTAAAAAAAAATTCTCATGTGTTTGAGAAGTTTGAAAACCTACATATCTAAAAAGGTTAAAATGGTTTCAACAGACTGAAAAACTGTACGTTGGGTACAAGTCTGCCAAAACAAAGAAACCAGTGACGGATGTGTGCATGATCGAGAGGACGCTATGGCGGCGGCTCATAGGATCAGCCATCCGATTCGATTTACCAGACTGGTGACGAATAGAGAACGTAAATTGTTGGAGATATGCGATCCAAGAAGCATGACGAGAAGATACTTTAGCTTGACTATCAAGATGGCGCAATGCATCATGATCCGTAAACAAAATAAATTCCCTATGGACCAAGTAGTGACGCCAATGCTTAA